CGCAGCACGATTTCACAGCCACGGACACATTCGGCACTATTTTTCGATAACGCACGCTCGAAACAAAAAAAAAATATCCAATCCTGTTCGAGAAAATTCTGCTCTACACTGATATATAAAACAAACCTAATCAAAAAGCCTGATTTCCAAAATATAGGCGAAAAAAGTATACTGTGTAGTACGATTTCACAGGCACTTGCTTTTCTGTTAGTCTGTTTCATATGTGCAGCTTCAATCATAAAATAATCGCCCTTCTGGTTGGAGAACAATCTATTCTATGCAGGGGTAATGAAATATCTTAATTCACAATAAAAATTTAGAATGTAATAGCGATAATACATAACTATGTTGCAATTGAACGTCAAGATCGAAGAAAAATTGAAAAAACTATTAAAAAGCTGCCTATTCAGTAATGCTGATCAAATATTCTAATGGACAGTCGAAATCTAGAATCTTCTACAGCCGATAATAACGGACAATGCGATAGCATTATAGGATCCCGCACTCACACTAGTTCATTTCCCACGTGCATCCTTGTGCGATTTACACTATGTTACATTACTTTTTTTCACATGTAGTATATTACCACCGAAGAAATGTTCACCGTTAGTAGGCTGGAACTTCGTAAAGTAATTAAAACGTCAATCAGCGATATCATTACTTCACGAAATGTTTTAAGATGTAATGTATCACTTTGACGCGTGAGAATATTCCACCATGTGTTACCGGTATGCTCGCTTGCCGCCAACTGGAAGTTGGTTGCAGCCGGATATGCTAGGTATTTTTGTAGCGGGAAAATGTTGCATCTTTGAAATAGCTATGTGATAAAGCATCGATGTAGAATATCAAACGATGTTTCTTATATTTATTAATATCAATCAAGCAAATATCAATATATTTCTGGTACCAAAAATTCCAAATTTCTGTATTTAATTCATGAACTTGAATTATTAATTATTTCATTGTACTAATGGAAGGATACACCATTAGTATCTTCGGCAATAGTTCAAACACATAATAATGATTTAAATAACAACAAATTCATATCCACAATTATATTAGAAAGCTCGCTAAGGCTGTCTGTTTACGATGCAATTGTAAAAGTTGATGAACTAATTTTAGACGAACATGAAGTCACAGATGACGAGTGATTTTGTTTTTGGTAAAAAGAAAATGAAACTATAATGATTACATGCATAAGTACCTTTTATTCACTTTGATAGTTTCACATATACACGTTAATTATTATATTATTATTAATAATTATTATTTTATATATATTATTTTATATATTAATAATTATTATTTTCTTATTTACATAAACGTTTAAAGAAAATTAAATATTACCCTTGGAACAAAATTCCATTACCTGAACATTATTAAAAACTATTAATCCAAATATTTACGGGGCCAAGATTTGATTCTTAAATTTCATACGCAAAATGATATGAAAACACTTTTCCGGAGCAATATCTTTATTTTCCTGCGAATACAGATTCTTTATGTGTATGTATATATAATATATATACACACATAAATATATATATAAATATATAATTATTATTTGTTTATATAATAATATATATATAATATATATATATATTTATATGCTCATCTTAACAGTACATTTATAAATACGTGAATATAACATTTACATGCGTTTCCCTTTTTGTTCCTTTTGAGTTTGTTCAAATATACATAAATAGCGGCATTCGATACTTATACGATAATTAAATCGTCGCGTTGATAAAATAGGTCCGTTTTACATCAGTAGAAAAGAGAAACGTGTTATATTAGAACAGAATATAATGAGACTAGTGGAGTCAATCGTTCAATTGCATTTATTCATTGATCACGATCAAAGATTTTTAATTTCCTTTTTTTTTTTCTTTTTCCTCGATATTTTCATCTGAAATTGCACTTTAGTTCGTTATACTAAAATTAATTTTACTCGACAATTCCGAGCTTTACGACTACGCTTTTGCAGAGATCACAAAAAGAAAGAATAAGACCTTTAACGAATACGCTTTTCGTCATTGCTTCGTTCAATGGAAATTCGATAATTATTTCGAGCTTAACGAAAGTCCAATTTTCCACGTAGTTCCGTTAAATAATTCGACGTTTAAATATCATTTAAATATCTCATTCGCGCATCGAGTTCGTTGAAATTCGGAATGAGCGATTTGTCTGTTTCGCAAACGCCGACGATCGGATGATACAACGCGCACGATATTATTGAAAAAATTACATGTCTCGGTATAATTCATCGTTTCCATCAGCAACATTACAATTATCTATAATTACACGATTTCTATTCGCTTAAAAACGAACGCTGTTAGAACGCTCTTACCGCAATTAGTACACGTACCATTACTATGCTAAACTGTATGTACAAATCCTACTGACATTGCTTACAGCTTACAGATTATGCTACTTATATTAAAAGAGAATTCTTCCTCTTAAATGAAATATTATTATTATATATCTTTTCATTTCGAAATAGTTATTAAGGATATTACGAAGTTTCCGCTTTCCTTCATATATTATGACACTTCTGCGATCACTCTCTATTTTCCTTTTATTTCAAATAAATTATATGCTCTGACAAAATAGTCGAGAATCAAATTATAAATTGTCTCTCTCTTTTCTGTTCTTTTTTTTTTTGTTTTTGTTACTTTACGAATCGGTACGATACATTAAAATATAAAACAATAACAAGTTCTGATACATTTTAGCAATATGTTAAATGATAATGAACATATAAGCAATAGTAAAGCGTTACGCGTTCGCCAAGGCGAATGACAATGGAGAAATATACAGATGTTGATTGCTCGTAGAATCTCTAAGTTGTTCTTCTTTTCTCTTTTTAACAGAATCCGTACAGAAAGAACAATCACGAATAATTATGGAAGATTAATATTACTGTAATATCATACGCACACGCATGTTTATATTAAATATATTATGTATATATATTAATCGCATAAATTATAATTGTACTATGATAATATTAATATGTCGAAACGCGATAAGATCGTCTTCTTTATTTTCGAAAGATACGTTCACGTGTTTGTAACTATATTATTCTATCGAGAGGAAATTAATCAGAGGAAATGAAACTGCAAATGGAATCAAGTAGTGAGAATGGAGAATAATACTATGGAAAATATCTTCGAATTGAATCGTTGAGTTCTTATATATCTACTTTACGTTCTAATGAAGACATCTAATGCTTTAATGTATTATATCGCATGTATGCTTGCATATATACTTTAATTACGGATAATTACTGTACAATAGCGTTCTCTTCTTTTTACACGATTTATGTAGATGAAAAAATGATACGTGCCAACCGTGAGCTCGTGCGTGTGAGCTTATTTTCTGTAAAAATATATATATATATATATATATATATATATATGTATGTATATATGTACGTAAATAGGTCACGATATTCGCTTATAACTTACAGTAATATGTCTTCGCGTAAGGAAAACGTATGGACGGCAGAAGTGGCGCGTTTTGGTCGCATATACTCGAGCATAAACGTAAAACCAAAGATGTAAAATGAAATTGGAATTAGAGTTCTAATTAAAATTAGTATCGTGATATACTGTAATTGTTGCAAAAGTATATACGATAATCCATTTGTAATCTAACTTAAAAGGAAATAGAATAGCGATGATATATATATTAAATATATTTATATATGCATAGAAAATTATCTTGCCCTATTGTCAAGATGATTTACAGTAAAGTAACTAATAACAAGATAGCACTTGGAATCTCGTGAATGGAAAATGTAACTCGAATTTAATTACAGGGCGGAATGATAATAGTAGCCTTATTGGGTATTGCATTTAGCAACGATAATAGTGTTATCAGTAGTAATGATTCGATGATAGTAGCGACGATCTACTCGCATGCAATAATCGCTTAAAGAGTAGGTGCAAATAAAGTGTATACCAAGACAATTATTATACAAATACCTTTTAGGAACTTGAAATTCTATGATAACACGTTTTCTGAATTTCCGTCGAATTCAAATGAAATTTAGGATCAAAGCAGCATTACGATTGTTTTGTACACTTTTAACAGATAGACATATCATTTGATAATTATTCACGGTTAGTTTAAAGTCCTCAGAGTCTTTGTTCCATCACAAAGTTCACTTTATTTCGTAGAGAATTTATCATCTGTTGTTTGTCTCTCATATACGTTTTGTCTTTATAAGATATATGTGTAGATCGGTACGTAACGAAGGAAAATATAAACTGTACATAGAATATATTCGACGAATTAAAATCAAGATATGATTTGACTGGATTATCGATCATTACATTTTTCCTTTTTTAATGCAGTGCAAATATTTCTTTGATAATAATAATGATAGTAATAGTAATACTAGTAACAGTAGTAATAGTGGTGACAGTAGTAGTAATAATAATAACAATAATAATATTCTGTACATGAGTATAAATAATGTAAAAATTATTGAAACGATATGTTAATCCTCAATTATAGTTGATGGGTGAGGCTTTGGAATATTATTATCTAGAGAAAACAGTATATGCATTGCATTATCTTCGAACTTTAATCTTTAGTGTTAATTTACTTCATTTTATACAATATTTTACATTTAATAATATAGTTTTTAATTGGTAATTATAGTTTCCGGTGACTCAATTTTCATGACCTCGATGAAAAAGAAATGTTTACTATCACCCATCAACTAACGACTTTTTGTCTATAATATCTTCCGTACAAAATAGCACGTATACTTTTCTAATTATAGAAATGAAAATTCTAAACTCTATTTTATTACGTCTATTGCTTGAGTCTGTAAGATCTATTCGTTCCTATTGACCATCATAATCGTTATGCTATATAGTATATCGTGATAACATATAAAATACAATTACAGATTTATTTTACGATATGTATATATAGATATATTACCAAACGTATATAATTTCATAGTTGGAGAAAATGGAGACGGAATATGTTACGAAGGCACAAGAAAATCCTGTTTCGTGGATATTTAACAATGTTTCAAATAAGACACATCGAATTTTCGGTTTGAATTCTTCGTGAATTACTATGATTAAAAAATTAATCATTCCTCGCAATCTCGATAGAAGTGCAACGTATACTCCAAATAATCAACACCGTGTTTATTCTTACATATATTCTGCAAAGAAAAACATTTTTAAAGAATTTATAAGGTAACATTGCAGAGTAAAAAATACTTAATTGGAAAGAATAAGATTAATTACCTCTTGTGGCTGTACAGTAGGTACACGAAACCTTAGTATTCTCTTAGGATAGTGAGCAACATCAAGAAGAAAAGATTGATCTCGTTGATTGTTATTTTCAATATCGATCTTTAACTGTGTTTGCTGTTGCATAGTGTATTTCCGGTTACATATTAAAGGCTCGTCGCCACCATGATTCGTTGGTGATGAGCACTGTTGTACTACTTGCCCGTACCAAGGCATTCCACTAAAACGAGGGTTGAAAACTTGAAGTGTTAACGACAGAAAAATGTTATAGTATATACTTACATAAAATGTAACGTAAGTTGGACGTCTGGCATGTACTTAGACAAAGGAATGACACAAGATATATTATTCGGCGTATCCTGTGACGGAGCGGAGCAATATTTTTGATCGATTGAAGTATTAAAGCTTTCTGCCACTATCCACAATTGTGGCTTTGGTTCAGGTGGTAATGATCCTGCAGCATTACTGGCGACTTCCGCCCAATCACCACTACCTTTCTCTCTTCTTGTTCTTTTATGTAGATACTTATAATTATTCTGCGACAAATACGATAATTTTGTATATCTTTCAGAATTATCTTTAACATAAAAGAATTAACTGGCGTTCTTTTACCTCTTTTACAAGTGTTTGTGTACTTGGGTCGGATGGACTTATACCATTCTGGAAACTTTTACTTATTTTACGTTTTTCCTCATATACGTTCAATGGCTGTTCTATGTGATCTGCTAAAAAAACGAAATTACATTTTTCTTTTTACTCGAAACAACAGCGATATTTGGTAATACATTGTTCTAGTAAATCTAGAAGAAAATATAAAAGATATAAAAAATATATGTGACTTACAAATTGATTTCTTTTCCGGAGGATGATCAGGTTGTGGATCTTCGAATTGGTGAATCTTGGCTGTACAACAGAATGTCTAAAACGTAATATTTTCGTTTAAAATACAAGTAATACGAAGAATAAAGACTAATAAAAATTCAGAAAGTTCTACCTGACATTGATTTTCGAATTCGCTGAAATGTCTAGGACAATTCGACGGTCTACCCAATGGAATTGGACTTTTATTCAAAGAAGAATCCACATCTGATCCTTGATCGTTTTCATCCACGTTACTGGGAACAGCACCAGCACCATTCCTGCACCTGCTTAACCAATTCCCAGGAAATTCGCTGGAATTTAACATATTACATTGAAATATCTCAAGCTTAAAAAGAGGCAAAGAAAGCAACTATAGCTTTACTATATTAATAATTACAAACCTATTTTTTTCAAGTTTTGGTTGGGGCCCAGAATGACTAAAGGGATACCAAGTAATCTCTTGAGAATAAAGCTGCTGTTTCGTGTGAGGAGCTTGTGTGGAAAAAGCGTTGGTTTTTACAGATAAACTACCATCCAAGCCTCTATTATGGGATCCATGTTTAGTATACGAAGACGATAACGTACTGTCCAATAACGAATTATACCGGGGCTCGTAATTAGGCGTGCTCGACACTGTCGATGGATGAGCTGGTCTTATAGCCAACATTCCATTGCTAGCTACCGCTGTCCACTCGAGACTGCTACGTTTCTGATATTCTAAGAAGTATAGCGTCGCCATGGCGACTAAGCTGAAATTTAAATGTATTCAATGAAACATTCAAATCGTTTATCTAATATACAAAAAGATTTAGAAAATTTGATGAAATTTTAATTACCAGAATGCCATAATAAGAATAAGTATAACAATGACAATCTGGATAAACTTATTGCTGCATAGCAATTCGTTCTCCCTCTCGCTCTTTTTTCCCTTTCCTTGTACAGTGCTCTTACTATTGATAGAGGATGAGTATTTGTTACTTGATATACTAGAGATTGTACTAATCGAACTTTTCAGACTGTCACCCCTCTTCAGCTTCGCCAACCGCTTATTTATTCGCTCCAGTTGGTCTATTCGAGTCTCCAAGCTATCCGTTACCTGGAAAATTTCACATAGTTTCAAAACGAAGAAATGAAACGAAGAAAAAGGACTGAAGAAACGAAATGAAAGTGGAAATAATAAAACAAATATCTTACTTTGCACAGTTCCTTCACAGCACCAACATTTTCCATGAATATCCTTTCCTTATTCACCATGAGAAAGTTCTCGATTCTCTGGCCATTTGGAAGAACTATGTCTCCAGCTGGTAGCACAGCTTCCGGAAGTATTTGTTGCACTTCTTGCGCTATGACACCCGTGTCTTCTTGCTGCTTGATACCCAAACCAGAATGCTGTGCAAATTCCGGCGCGTATCTGTAACGAACCACTCTCAACTGTTGCACGTTTCGTAATTGCTCACGCGTGTCCACTTCCTGCACGTTTTGTTTCGCCCGTGCATCACTGGGTTGAACAATATGACCAGTCACCTGTGAGCATCCATTAGCGATGTTGCCGTGTAAAGCACGTTATATCTACGTGGAATCTTCATATATATTAAAGTAGCGTAAATGGAATACAATACCTTCATATTGCCATGAACAACCAGAGCTTCGTCAGGCCTGTCCGTGTTAATTCCAACTCGACCGGCATGGAACACGCTATCCGGTGCTGCTCCCCTTTGCCAACCACCCTCTGCACCAACGCCACTGCCTTCCGACTCGAATTGACCAGGATTACTTGCCTGCATCGTTATATTTTTTATGACAATTTTATTTTACTCGTATTCAACTGTATTCAAAGATTAACAGAAGTATTTACAACGACCTAACTATCTCTTATTAGGCAAAGTTCTACTGATCAAGCGAAAATATCCTTGCTTCGAGAAATAAAAGAAAAATAAAATAAGGACAAGGCGAAGAATTCAGCATCGTGACTGTTCTTCTCTAATTAAATATTCCGACAGAATTTTCTCACTCGGATTTAGAGCTTGTAGAACGTTAGCACTTTCGCTCTTGCTCCAATAAATGGAGTTCTAAATTAAGTTGCAACGGGATCGTAATTAAAGGCGTAATTACCCTGACGATTATTCTCTCTGACGCATGAGCTACCACCTGATAGCTGGCTTGATCAACGGTATGAGCGTGCAGGCCGACAACTAAATGAAAATATCTTTGATCCGGATTCGGTTTCCCTTTCTTTCGCATATTGTTGCTGGTCGTTTCGCTGAAGTGAAGACGGCCAACGGTTACCTTTGTAACACGCTCGCCGCCTAGTTCCACCCTAAAAGCAGCTCTATTTTAGTGTAATGTAACCATTTTACAGCTTCTATCGAAAAAACGACTAGAATTTCGCACCAAGGATTCCGAAAAGTTTGCTCGACAATGCTTGTGTTTCGTGTATAAAATGTGGAAAGAAAAAAGAATGCATTTTAATTTGCTCGGCATCTTGCGCGTTTGTCTGTGTACTTACGTCACCGGATGAAACGGTTTCTTGCTCCTGTCGCTTTGACTCTGCTCCACTCTGATCGTTTGCGTCGGAGACTCGACTTTGACGCCGTAAAAGTGCAATTGGAAGCTACTTATCTTCTTGAAGCCTCCGCCGGTCCGGACGAATATAGCCTCGCCTTGAAGCTGAGCGTGGCAAGTAATCTGAATATATTTAACGTGATTACATTCGCTGCATTTATAACGTTCGATGATACAGACGTGATATTGTCGATGCATAAAGATAACGATTAGAGAAGAAAATTTGATTCGATTCTATGTTTATCGTGACATCGCAGTCTTTTCATCGGAACAGATGGGGGTGGTATATTTCAAACGAAATAGAGTAGGGTGGAATGGCTCCTACGAAGACTTCATGGTTAACGCGAACAGGGTTGTTTCCAAAGAAAGGTGTAAGTGTTTACCTGAAAATGATTTTTCTTCTGGCACACGAAAGCATCGTCGGAGTTGCTGAAATTGAATCCTTTGTCCGCGTCAACCCGGTAATGAGGCACTGGTAGCTCTTTTAGATTATGGTCACAGAGAACGTGCCAGGAAGTTTGTTGAAAAGGATGAAATCGGATGCACTGGTAACTGGCGTCTATGTAGCTATTGTCCGCCACTTCGTCGCCATCGAGAACCGCGCTGCTGCTGCTACAGCTATGTTCCACGGTTCCCAGTTCAGGTTCCTGGAGGACCGCCAATAATCACATTTTAAACGGCAAAATGCACCAAAGGTTGCAATTATTTCATAAAAAAGCGTTTGAAGTATTCCAAATCTAAAAGAATGTACTTGAAAAATGAAAAAATATCGGAAATAGCTAATACTTTATAATATTGTACAATAGAAACTGAATTTCATAAGGAATACAAAAATAAATACACAAGAGGTGTGTTGTTTCACGACTGAAGAAAGGTAAAAAGCACAGAAATTGCATTTTTCCTCTTTTTATTTTGCAAAACAAAAGGTGCATTTGTAATACGACTAATACGTAAATGACCACAGGAGAAAAATATGATAAATCATTGTCAATTGCCTGACTTTGATGACGTTTGACAGTGAAAAGCTTGTCTCGATAAATCAAAGGCACGATTCATGCCAATTAATACGTTTAAGATATCGAAGAGATGAAAAGCAAATATAAACCATACGAAATTGAACGAAAGAACACTGGGAAACTAAAGATTGCTTCCACAAAAAGCAGGAAGCGTGACTCATCATATTCCTTCCCGCTAGTCTTCGCGTATGGCTATTTATTTTAGTATAATCATGACAGTAATAAAAAAAGTTTACTCGTTGCACCTGCTTCACATGGACAAGACCATCCTGACTCAATTTTCTCTTCTTGGGCGCCGATTGTACCGACGGATACAACGTGATGTTACCAGGACTAGGATCGTGTGGCAGAGGCACTAAGGTCTGACTTATCGGCTGTTGCGATTGAACATTCGGTGTTCCAGAGGCGAGATGAGACGTAAGCACGGTGTGAGTTAGTAGCATTGGATCCGTGGAGGATGTTAAAGGCGAGGACGGTAGTAGATTTGGTGCATAATTGGCCTGATTGCCTTGGTGATGAAGAAGCATTTCCTGAAGAGCTACCTTTTGATCTGGAATCGCATACGGTTTCTCGTGAATTTTCCACGGAACATAAATCATAATTGCCTACAAAATGCCGGGATACATTTGTATACCGTTAAATCGTAGACTATTCGAATTACACGTTGAACGTTGCATTTTAATAGAATACTTCGGGAAGTACTCACGCGGTGAATGTACATGTTGAGTGTCGTTGTGACCTGGCGGAGAATATGGCGGTTCGCTGCCACTGTCAGGTGGGCTTTCTGGTAATGCATGTCTGAAACGAAGTATCCGAAAAGTGCTGCGTTAGAATTTTCTCCTCAGATCGTAACCTCAGATCGTTGAGGTATCTGAAATGGTCTAATGCTATCGAGTATAATCGCTAGTAATTTCTTTCACAGCTCCTCAAAGTATGTTACCGACTTTGCCATTGAGCTTCTCGACGATTAATATATCACGGGTTTAAATCTATTAACCTATCGAGGAGCGAATTATTTTACAAAAGTCGGCAACGATTAGGGAGGGAACTTGATATTTTGGAAAATTCGATTAAAATTCCCGCGGTTCTGCAGAAATAAAACAGATTCGCGCGAACGGGGGACATTAACGAAGAGATAAGACTGGAACGTTTCTTCGAGAAACGTGAGCACGTAAGCAAGTAGACACTGTTAAATTACTGACATCCTGAAAAGAAAGCTCTTAGTTATCTACTTATAGGAATTGAAACCGTGAAAGGTCTCGAATGACTTAATCCACGAGGTTGACATTCTAGCCCTTAGGCAAACTCGACTTACGGGTGAACGTACGATTGCGGATCCTTGTAAGCGGCGCCATTTGGTACGGTGGTGGTACCGGATGTGCACGTACTCGAGACCGGATGACTTTGGGTAATCGGCGATGGCAATCGAGACGGTGGTTGTTGAGTGGCTGCCGCCTCCACGCGACCACCATGCGTCGTCGTTCCACCCCCATTCTCATTGTTAGCCAGGGTATCCGCGAAATATCTGCCATGGAATAATTAGTCGTTGCAAATGCGAAGACAACGAGGACAATGAATAAATAAAGCGGAGAAAATTATTCTTCCACTGTGGAAACTTGGCAACTGGAATTAACGAGATTATCCTTAACACTGGAACTACCAATTCGGTTAAAATAATTACACTCGGAATTTTCCTCTTTGCAATTGCGAAAAACATATACCTGCTTTTGAAAAAATTAGCGTTGACTCGCATCGAAATAGAACTGTAATTAATACATTAATACATTAACCCTTTGCACTCGAGAGAGGACCCTCGTTGTCATTTAATCAGATTTTAAAGATCGATATTAATCCAACGATGCGTGGAATATCGAAGTAAAATAATTTTACGTCTTAATTTGCATATGATTTCTTATTTACCGTTTTAAAAATATCGTCGACTCTATGACAGAAAGTTTTACTATTTTTCTGTAACGAAATGATTGTCGAGTGCAAAGGGTTAATACATTCTATGTTTAGGTAGCCAATTAAAGATTGGTAATTCTGGTGTTAAAACTTTAACGATTAACAAAATCTAATCCTCAGAGAACTATAATTTTTTTATTACGAATTCTGAGACCTGTCGATCCATAAAGATCCTTTTTCGAAGAAGTAAACGAAATTTAGGCGAAACGTGCTTTTAAAGCCATTTTGTATGTTTTAATGTACTCTCTATAAAAGAAAGGAATTATGGTTCTCTGCGAGTAGCTTTTCAACCGTAAGAGCTAATTTACTATTCGCGTATACCATTAATTCGTCGATCGTAGATTAATCCATAAATTATTTCACCATTTCATTGAAAATTCTAAGACTCGATAATATTTCTACCATTCGTGCAAACTTCTTTTCGCGAATTCGTGAAATTTTACACTCGGGTAACAGTGTAAAATCTCTGATCGAAATAATTTTAAAATTATTTAAAAATTAATTTTTAAATTAACTAAAGCGAAAAGAAAAATTGGATGTTAATGAATCGATTGATATCGACGATTGGAAAATCGAATTACTATTGACGAATCGATGTTAACCACCGATTACGCGTGCCACGATGCCACTCGATGGATCACTCTGACCACGGTGATCACTATCGAGAGGAATTTACTATCGGGAATTGGATTTTTGGGTTTCCCGTTCAGGGCTTTTCCACGAATACCACTTCCGTAACGCGATCTAAACAACGATTTACGTTGAATAACACGTACGATTATATTACTCCTGGTAATTATGTAATTATCCTGTCGCGATTTCAAATCCACGGATCCTTGAAACTTGTACCAATTACCATTGAATATTTTCTTACCGGCTCGAGAACAATTACGCTTTTTCATGCATTCCTTATAACAGTTTGTTCGAAAGAATTTAATCCCGGTTCGTGGTAATCAATGGCATAAGTAAATAGCTTATTTGCTTGGAATTTATTATCGTAGAATTTTAGAAAGGATTGTACACGAGAGTATTATACTCGCGAGGAGATAATAGGAACGAAAGAACGAAGGTTCTTGAATTTCTACATGAATTTCCTTCAGCGTCTACGATTAAAGCTTCCTATAGAATTGAATACAAATTGCGAATAACAATCTAGGGAAATTTCCACGACCCTGTATCCAGTGATATGTAATTAAACAAGAATCGCGATAAGTAAATAATTTTCATTGGATAGATCGACGAGTAAAATTTATTTTTAGAATTATTATTTCTACGTTTCTGCTCAACATAGTCGATTCTCTATGAAAGCGTAAATGAAATATCAAATAGACGCTATGATAGATAATTTCCAGCAGTTATATCCCCATTGGCCTGCAACGTAATAGGGATCCCAGACGAAGAACTGCCATTCGATCGACTGGCGGATAAAATTCCAGCTTGAAAACGACGCGACTCGAATTTACAATTTCTCCGGATCACGAAATTCTACTCGAATCTTCGTGCACACCTCCCACGCGAATTCCAACGGGATCAGATACACGAAATATCAAATAAACGCTATAATGGACAATTTCCAACGGTTTAATTCCCATTGACCCGGGACGCAACCGAGATCACAGATGAAGAACTCCCGTTTGATTGGCTCGAGGATACAATTTATTCTTCGAAATCGACTGGAAGCCGCGATAAATCGCGATAAATAATTCTCCCGGGTGTCGAAATCTCGCGGAAATTTCCCTAGACACACGGTGCTCGTCGATCCCGTGGAATTTCGCGGGAAATCGTGCGCGAGATGCCAAATAAACGCTATAATAGACCATTTCCAGCAGTTTTAATCCCATTGACCCGCGACGCAACTGGGATCAAGGGTGAAGAGCTTCCATTCGGTTGATCCGTGAATGAAATCTGTGACTGAGATCAGCGCGGGGCCTTTAATGGGACGAGTGCGTTAGGTTGGATTACCAGGCCTAACACGGCAAGCACTGATTCCATCAATTCCATCCAGCCTGTCTCTGTCATTATATCATTACACCTCTGCGGTCGCTACCATGCATGATATCTGTCTGCTCTTTCCACACGTGCACGCCACCGTGTGTACGTACACGCGTCGCGACAGTGTACTCCGCGCAGTGTACTCGACAGTGTACTCGACAATATCCGCGTGTGTGTTTGTCCGCCGCTGCCACACGCGCCGCCATTCTTTTTCTTCTGCACGCGTTTCGTGCACACGTTGCGCCTCTGTACACTGTCGACCATAAGTTTCCGATTATCTCTTTTTATCGCGCGTTTTCGGGCACCGTGGACGAGGCCGCACTTCCCGCACAGTGTTCGTGATTTTAAGAAGAAACGTTCGCTCTGTGTTCAATTTTTAAACGGATATTTCGCGATTAGGCACCTCGCGTATGTGGAGATTGTTATATATATATTCCAGTAATTCCGCGAATGCGATCTGTAGGATCTGCAGGGAATTTTACAAAGGATATTTAATATACTATAAAATTGGAGATATTAAAATTTTGTTTTCCAGTAATTTAGATAAATAATCACGCGTTCTGGGATATGATTAACCCCTTGCACTCGAGAGGCGACTCTCAGTCGCCATTTAATCAGATTCTAAAAATGGATGTTAATTAATATATCAAATTTACAATTACTCAACGATGCGTGGAGTATCGAAGTAAAATAATTCTACGTCTTAATTTTCGTACGATTTCTTGTTTACAATTTTAGAAATATCGTCGACTTTATGGCAGTCTTTGAATTACTATTTTGAATTCGAATTTACTATTTTCCGAAAAAATCGTCGAGTGCAAAGGGTTATGGTAGCTCGTATTAAAATTTGTAATAAAAATTTGCTACTTCGTGGATGGTAAAATTGCTTTATGCGATATCTTCGAGGAATGAGTCGAGGGAGATTATAATTCCTAATTTTGGAGTAATTTATGATACACAGAGGTATAATAGGGTTATGTGACCTGGCAATTTCGAAGCGTTTAAGGACTCTATTTATCATGGATCGATGAAAATCGATGTAAAGAGATTGGTAAGTAGAGCGGATCGACGAACGATGAAAATGGATATTCTGTTTGCAGCGAATGTTACACATGCGCACGTGTGTCCGCGATGTAGGCGTCAACGATGGTTTCCAGTCGTCGTCGGACGTCGTCGTTAAAGCAAAACTTTTGAAATCGTGTACACGGATCGTTGAGCGATAACAAACTTTCGCGACGTTCGTCGCTGAGAAGCGAATTTCGAAAGGTCTGCCTTCGAGAAACGAGTCCTTTAAAGAACCGCTGCTAATTTGAATATCAGAGTAATTAATATCGCGCCGAAAACTGAAAAGACACGCGATCCTTTTAATTCGCACCACGATGCGAAAACGTAAAAGTCAATTTATCCTTCCTAATTGTTTATCGTTCTCGTCAGCAGTGGTTTCCGAATTTTCGCAAAATCGTGCAGGAATACGCGAGACGCGCTGTTCTTCGAGCCGGCCTCGAAACCGGTTAATTGGCCGATTGAATTTTAGCCAAAAATTAAGGAATTTCACGCGACCTCGACCTTCCTCGTTTCGAGTAAGATTAATCAGTCGTCGTTTAATCAAACTTTCAAGACCGAAATTAATTAGAATATTAAATTTGCGATAACGTAACAGCGCGGGAGGTATTGAAATTAAGTTATTCTATGCGTTAATTATTATTCGATTTTTTATTCTATTTTTTATTATTTTATGATAGGAAATCTTTGAATTTCTAGTCTTCCGTAGCGAAAAATCGCCGAGTTCAAAGGGTTAATTGCAAGTAATCGATGTATATTCAGGAATAAAAGTTACTTACGTGGCAGGTTGCTCACTGTCGCTATTGATAAAATCTTCCAGCTGCGAGAAGTCCAGGGCTTCGTTGTCTATGCCTCCGACGAAGTCGCCCCGACCTGAATAAGACCAGATGAGACCAAGCTTTATTCGGAGCCTGCTTCGTTATCATTATTGATAAGGATCTTAAGAGATCGCGATAACGCAAATGACTACCGAATACACCTTCCTGTCATGTCGGATAATGGCTAATGGAAATTACATCACTTTCGCGAAAACGAACCTCCTTCCACTGTACATTCCTTCAATTTATTTGCGCGAGGATTACGAAAAAATCTGAAAGATACGTGTACCGTATGTGTAACTTTGCTAATAAATTCTTGCTGCTTAAACTTTTTCGTCTCGTGATATTATTAATCTTACGAGTATTGATAAATCGGATGACTTTTCGCTTAATGCGTAATAAATAGGGATGGGAATAAAAGTTCGTATACAATGAGCGACTAGAAACTTAAATGGCTGCAAACGTAAATTGTGACATAGCAAAACAGTCGATAGAATTCCATATTTTACCGAAAAATGACGCCCAATTCGATAATACGATCCTTCAAAGTCGACTCAGATGTATGGAATATTTAAAAAATATAAAAATTCGTACACCATGGCGAGTAGAGACTTAAATACCTGCAAACGTAGACTGCGACATAGCAAAACAGTCGATAGAATTCCACGTTTTACCGAAAAATGGCGCCCAATTCGATAATACGATCCTTCAAAATCGACTCGGATGTATGGAATATTTAAAAAATAATAAAAATTCGCACACCATAGCGATTAGAGACTTAAATACCTGCAAACGTAAACTGCGACATAGCAAAACAGTCGATAGAATTCCACGTTTTACCGAAAAATGGCGCCCAATTCGATAATACGATCCTTCAAAGTCGACTCGGATGTATGGAATATTTAAAAAATATAAAAATTTGTACACCATGAGCAATCAGAGACTTAAATGCCTGAAAACGTAGACTGCGACATAGCAAAACAGTCAATAGAATTCCACGTTTTACCGAGAAATGGCGCCCAATTCGATAATACGATCCTTCAAAGTCGACTCGGATGCACGGAATATTTAAAAAATATTAGTCTCTAAATAATAATGACAAGTATTCTACGACCATGGTCGAATCCCTTTGTTCCACTGGATAAATAAACGCGAGAAGCAGCTCGTAGAAACAGGTATCCCTCGTTTGCATACCCGAGTTATTTCTTGCAACGAGCCGCCTTTAGGAATGAGGATGCAGGTAATTCAGGTATTCCGTGAGAGAGACATCCGCGTGGGAGTAACGAGGCGTTGCAGGTGAGAACAACCGACGCAGTGGCATGAATATATTTCACCTCGAGGTCTTCCTAAAGGTCTTTCGGCCGAACACGCGTAAGGGATTGATTTCGAAATCGTTCGGCAATACAGACGTCCACCGAACCGCGTCTTCGCTCCATTCAACATTCATCCTTCCACTCCTCTATCCTCCTGTCGTTTAGCATCGAAACGTATTAAACGGGACCTGACGAATTTTCTTACGAAATATCCGTCTTAATTTCGTTTACGACTTCGTTAATTTCAAACGGGTCAGACTGATTTGGAACTAATAATATTCGCAACTGGAAAATCGCACAGGTTCGAATGGGGGAAAAGGAGAGTGACAAAATGAAAAAAGAAAAGAGAATGTGGATGATCTTGAAATGCTGGCGAGATCGAAAGATTACAGGGTTTCGCGCATTAGTTCCAGAAAAAGTTTCAGGACAGGATTCCAAGCATGTCACGCGGTATATCCAACAGATCACGAGATAAATAATTTAGATATTCAAATGACCATTTTTATGAGTTTGAAATTCAATGAAATCCGTTGTATCGTAAAGGCGAGAATCGGAAAGCCGTTAGAATGTCGACATTATTATTCGTGCGAAATACAACGTTCTATTCAGGAAAGGAGAATCGACGGAAAATTTGAAGAAGATGGACTGCATTTAACATTGAGAATTTCCGAATTTTATGAGATTCTGCGCTGCACCTTGGTAATCACGAGAGAAAGTGGAAATCCGTGGAGTAGTGGGAATTTCACGGGCAAATGGAGCTGGAAGCCAACGCAACCGGGGATCAAAGTGTCAATGTACACGAGGTTGTTCATTGCGCTGGATCGTATCGAGATCTCCTCGATCGGATGGAATTTCTTCCTCCGCGATCCTCCGCAGTGAATGCCGCAACGTTGCTTTCCGATTTACGACGCTCCGCTCGATCGCGGAAGATTTCGATCGGCCATCGGTATCGAGAGAAATCGCGGAATCGTTCTAAATTTCGTTCTGAAATCTCGAAACTGCTTGAAACGAATTATACTCGGATCGTTGATGCAAAATTAATCGACCGTTTTTAAATTTTAAATAAAAAATTCCGCATTCGACGATTTGGACTTTGCGATTCTTTTTCTAATTCGCATATATGACACCGAATTCTTCGATATTTCGTCTCATTCCATTTCTTTCTCCACCGATTCAGGGTTAAAATATTCCGAAATTCGGTTAAAGTATTCCCAAACATTCGCTCTTTTCCAAAAACAGGAAATATTTCGCGAAACTTTTTGCATCGTTCGATAAATACGATTCGCGATGGAACTGTCAAGCGTATCTGCCAGAAAACAAAGCGGCAGAATTTATCTATGACAGACGTATTTATCTATAAGCGAAACTCAACAAGCTTCGGCAACTTCGAGCTATAAAGACTGTAAAATGGCGAAAAATAGAATAATAATTCGCGATTAAGTGCGTTAAGCCACGGAGGATGATAAACCACCGAATAAACGTCTCGGAAGGTTGTTTGGAGCCATAGTTTCTCGGGGCAGCATCCTCGTCGAATGAATTTCAACGAGGAAAAGTATCGGAATGAGCTGAGCTCGGCATGGGGCCGATGATGACAGCGAAGAATCAGGCCATGTTTCTCGATTGCGAGCGTAAACGCGCGTGTGTACGAAGAATACAATGCGATCACGCAGCCTGGCTACACTTAAGCGTTTAAGACTCCATGTCAAGTGTCATAACTCGACGCTTCCGGTCGGCCATTCACGCTGCCCGACAAGTGTAAGGGCGCCTTTAAGACTTCGGCATGAAAATACGTACGAGTCTGCTCGACCCATCAATGGACCATGTAGCGTTCGATGCTCGTACACTTCGAACATCGGCACAGTTTTCTCTTCGTTGCCAAGGATCTTCTCGGAATCGAGAAGAGAAAAGAAAATTGCCAAGGACAGATCTAAATTAACATTGTTTTATTCTTAAGTTAATAGCTACGTTACTCATGGATGGATATTTTTTCCTCTTGAATCAGAAAATTTCTGAGATTATATTAATTTTAGGCTTTCCTCTTGTTAGGAAATTTAGGATCCAGAGATAGACTTAACTCTCGTGACTTAATAATATTCCAAGTTCGAACGAACTTTTCCCTATATACGATTGGACAAAGATTTAGGTCTATCAAAAAATAAGTATCGTCGAAATGGGATTTTAAATGTTTAATATCGGAATTGAAAATTTGGGGGTAACACGGTAAAGATCAGACATAATTAGCTAGACAGAGACAAAGATTAGACATAATTAATTAGACATTAATTAGATCGGTGTAACGTCTAACTAAAATGCTGAGATGTAATAAGTAATAGCAAATTTAATGTTAAAATAGATCCGATAATTCGGATTCGAGGAGGCAATTAAAAATTGAAAGGTAAAAGAAATTAGCTAGACGTTTAGCTAATTTTGCGAATTGCAGTGGACGGAACTGTACGAGTATCTCCGTTCCGAAAAGAAGCGTTGCGAATTGGCAATGAATCCCGAGGCGGGACATTTAAATAAATTGCTCTATCTTCTCCGCCCGGACAGAAATTCACGGAATCGACGTGAATGCAGTCGTGATTTGTGACGCGAATGAAACATAAAGATGGAACAAGGACGCTCATCGAGACAGACATTAAAACAAGTTTACGTTTTCAGGCGAACCTGTTTACAGACATTCGCGCAACGGTTTCTGATTCTTCCTTCAAGAGTTTGGAAGTGGCTGCATCTAAAAAGGTAAGACACGATCGACCGAGGACCGGTAATCGTTTGAGAATCCTCGACAAACGCTCCCCGAACTGTCATTTGCATATTCCCTATGCGAAAAACAATTTATCCTCTGACGAAACTTCTTCTATATGTAGGGATACTGTTTGATTGGCAAACATAAAGAATAAGAGATATTGTTTTATTTTAAAATATATATTTTACCAGCTAAATGAGACTGCAAAAGACGACCTTATCGTCTCCAATTGGCATTCGAAGTGCACCAATGACTCAGGAGCGAACCCTGAGTCAACGGATGCTTACTAAAAACCCGATACCTCGCCATACCTTTCCTTATCACATCATTGTATACAAACTCCAAACCAGATATGTATCATCCGAAACAAACCAAAGACCACCGATAGCCAATCTTGAGTCAATCAATATATTCTAAAACCCTTCCCTACCTTACAGAATATACGCATATATGTACGGATATTGTTCATTGACAAATATAAAGAATCAGAGATGTTATTTTATTCTAAAATATATATTTGTTACCATTTAAATGAGACTAGGAGTAAAGTATAAACCAAAAGACTAGGTTTGACAACTGATCTATGATTACGCAACTGACTGACACTCTCACGTCAACTCTTGCTAAAAACTCCTTAACACTAGAACTACCAACCCAGTCAAAATGACTGGTCCCAGAATTTTCCCTTTTCAATCACCGAACACATACACCTGCTTTAAGAATAAAATTGGTATCAACTCGTATTAAGAAAGAACTGTAATCAATATATTCACTCGTATTCATCGTACAGCTGAAATTTCTATAATCTGTGCACGTTATAGTTAGGTACCCATTAAAGATCGGGAGTTCTAGAGTTAAAGGACTATCTCGAGACAGTCCTAGCATCCCTATTTAAACCTAGCAGTCTATGCTAGGTAGGGATCCTTTTATTGTTGTGCTATGAGATAGGGTAGCAAGTAGAGAGGACGAAAGGAAAAGGAAGGGACGCGTTTCGTC